TTTTCCCCCGGTTGTTTCGCGGGAGTGATCTGAAGGCAGCGATTGGTTTTCTCCTTCTTGATCCCCATTTTCCTTTCATTTGTGTAAGATTAAAGGAGGGTGGGGGATTAAATATCTGTAAAGGATAAGTTCGTTAAATCGAGAGTTTTGAGCAAACAGATCACACTTGAAACCAACACCTGTGCTATTTTTGATAGCTATTTGCCATGCAATCTGTTGTGGCATGTTCTTGAGTTGTATAAAAAGAAAAGGCACAGTTGGTTGTTGACCTGTGTTGTAGGCTCAGCTTTCTCCCAGATTTTCAGTTTGCATGACAGATGTACATCTTGGCAAACTGAACGCTGGTTTAACCGTCAATTTCACCCTTCCTGCCATGCTTCACATAGGCTACCTGCTTTTTTTCTTGCTTTTAAAAGAATAAATAAATAAATTTTTAAAGCATCAGTTATTGGAACCTGTTCTATTTTGAGATTTACCATATGCTGCTTTTCGGCTCACATCCAGCCGATTGCAAGATTTGCAGAATGCTTGGGCGCTGTAAGAATTAGTATGTGCAAAAATGTGTTTGTTACCAACCATTCCCATCAGTTAACGTGACGTCACACACTGGAAATTATCAAGGGAAGAGGATCTTTGGGAAAGGTCAGGATTTTGCTGATTCAAGGTGCTGAGGATTTGGTGAACATCTTTTCATTCTACAAATCACACCTTAGTAGGAATTGGAATGTGGTCAGAAGTTAGGGATCTCCACCTAAGATTTCCCATAATATCCTGAAATTCATTTGTTTATCCACAGCTATCAGGTCCAATGCTATTAGAAGGGTTTTGATTTTGGGAGACCTTCCAGTTATATGCAATCCACATCTTTGCTGCCAGTTTGAATTACTTAATAAGGTCTTTGGGCAGGAGTCCAGGGTCATTAGGTTCAGGTTTTATTTATTGAAACCACTCTTTAATTAGATATATCAAGGTGGCATACAACATTCAGAATACAATAAAATCATTCATAGTATCCATGAAAGGGCAATTGAAAACCGTCAGTAAAACATCAGTAGATATTGGTTGGTGAAAAATGGAACTTCCTATTGTGCCCTATTGTGTCTAAACAAGGCAGTTTTCAGGAGACATCTAACTGAGGGCAAGGCTGGTTCCTGACAAACCTCTACTTGTAGGGAGCTCAATGGGGCAGGGCCTGCTGCACTAAATCCTGGTCCCCAGTGAAGGCCACCCGAACCTTAAAGGTAAAGGTAAAGGGACCCCTGACCATTAGGTCCAGTCATGGCCGACTCTGGGGTTGCGGCACTTATCTCACTTTATTGGCCGAGGGAGCTGGTGTACAGCTTCCGGGTCATGTGGCCAGCATGACTAAGCCGCTTCTGGAGAACCAGAGCAGCGTACGGAAACGCCGTTTACCTTCCCGCCAGAGCGGTACCTATTTATCTACTTGCACTTTGACATGCTTTCGAACTGCTAGGTTGGCAGGAGCAGGGACCGAGCAACAGGAGCTCACCCCGTCGCAGGGATTCGAACCGTCAACCTTCTGATCAGGAAGCCCTAGGCTCTGTGGTTTAACCCACAGCGCCACCCGTATCATCCGAACCTTAGGGTCATGCAAAACCACCAGAAGTGTGGTACATGACCCCAGTCAAACTTGCAAAGATATATCAACAATAAATGTTGGAAATGTAAGGAGGCTGAAGGAACATTCTTTCACCTTTGGTGGACATGCCCGAGGGTGAAGGCTTTTTGGGAAATGATTTATAACGAGTTGAAAAAGGTATTTAAGTATACCCTTCATAAGAAACCAGAGGCCTTCCTCCTGGGCATTGTAGGCCAGAGAGTGCCAAAGAAAGATAGAACTTTTTTTTTATATGCAACTACAGCAGCAAGAATCCTTATAGCCAAATATTGGAAGGCACAGGAGCTACCCACGCTGGAAGAGTGGCACACGCAACTGATGGATTACATGGAATTGGCTGAAATGACTGGCAGAATCCGAGACCTGGGAGAAGAGGCAGTGGAAGAGGATTGGAAAAAATTTAAGGACTATCTACAAAAACATTATAAGCTATATGAATGTTGAGAATTTGCTAAGTTTTGAGAAAAACATGCTTCGGTATTGAGATTCGGAAATGATTGAAATTAAGTTATGACTGAGAAAAGTTTAAATTTTAGAGTAAATAATTAGATGAAAGTACAAAAACACATGAAACAAGGTATTAATTTGCTGTTCACTTTTTATTGTAAAGAATGCAGGGATGGAAGATGTGGGGAAGTCCAGTTGATGATGAAAAAAGATTTGGAAAAATGAATTTTCTTTTATTTAATTTCTTTTTTCTTTTTGTAAAACAGCTTTTGTCGTGTTATTGACGATGTATTCTGACCTTGGAAAATAAAGCAATAAAAAATATTATTAAAAAAAACAAAAAACAAAACCACCAGAAGTGCCCCATCAGAAGATCTTGGTGATCGAGGTGGAGTAATGAAGAAGCAGCATAGATTCAGATGTTACCTATGGTCTGATGTGAAGAAAACCCTTGTGGTCACTAACAGATAGGTGGTTGTTTTTGTTATAATAACATATTTATTTTTATTCTGCATTTCCCTCTGATGGGACTCAAGGCAACTTGCTGATAGAAACAGGGACTGCTAAAAACATGGAAACACGTTCCTCAGCCCTCGGACCTTTGGACATACCCACCAAATGAATATTATTATTTTCTTAAATGAATTGCAGGGTTATTTCGCATGTTGTCTTATCCCCCTCCATCTTGAGATCAGTTTGATGCAACGTGGGTTACAAATATGTTTTTAAGATACCAATATGATTGAAATATGGTTTAAGATCTTCCTTGCAGGCCTTATCCAGCCTCTTCACTGTCTGAAATACAGTGGTACCTTGCAAGATGAATGCCTCGCAAGACAAAAAACTCGCAAGACGAAAGGGTTTTTGGTTTTTTGAGTTGCTTCGCAAGACGATTTTCCCTATGGGCTTGCTTCGCAAGACGAAAACGTCTTGCAAGTTTGTTTCCTTTTTCTTAAAACCGTTAATACAGTTGCGACTTGACTTCGAGGAGCAACTCATAGCACGCGGTGTGGTAGCCTTTTTTGAGGTTTTTGAAGACTTTGGTATTTTTGAAGCTTTTCCAAAACTTTTCTGAAACCGTGCTTCGCAAGACGAAAAAATCGCAAGACGAAAAAACTCGCGGAACGAATTAATTTCGTCTTGCGAGGCACCACTGTACAGTAAGCAGTTGTCCATAGTAATTTTAGCAATACCATTGGGGGTGCAGGAGCAGTTCCATTCAAAATACATTTAAAGCCCAATGAAATTCACAGTTTCCGAAGCAAGTCTGCAACCCCCAAAACCCCCAGCGATGCTTTGAAATTTGCGCTTATCCAAATTTTGCAACATTGCTCTCCAACCAATGTTTACAAAAATGCGGATCAGGGGCAGGGTGTCTAAAAACGAAACATACTGATTATTAAACAACTCTGGGAATTGTAGCCTTGGGAGGTTGAACAGGGGTCTCCTAACAATTCCCAGTACAGTGGTACCTTCAGGTTACAGACTCCGCTAACCCAGAAATAGTGCTTCAGGTTAAGAACTTTGCTTCAGGATGAGAACAGAAATCGTGCTCTGGCGGCGCGGCAGCAGCGAGAGGTCCCATTAGCTAAAGTGGTGCTTCTGGTTAAGAACAGTTTCAGGTTAAGTACGGACCTCCGGAACGAAATAAGTACTTAACCCGAGGTACCACTGTACCTTAAACAAACTACAGAGAATTGTTTTTTTGGGGGAAGTCACAAGTGTTTAAAGTGGAATGTATGGTGCGGCCAGGGGTCTATAAATGTGGTGGCCGTGACTGCAGCAATATTGCGGGTTTGGGGAGCACCACAGCCTTGTAAATGGCAGCATCCACACATCTAATCCCCACGTGGAGGTGCATTCCTTGCAGATGGCGTGCACGGATCCTGGCCACCCGTCTTTAGACATTTGCATGGGGGGGTTGCTGTAAAAGTGATGCACACACTACCCGGTTGTCAATTCCATCTCTGCCAAAGCCACTAACTTATATAATGGGCAGCCAGTGTGTTCTGTTGCAGCTATTATCATCACACAGCCATTCACTGACCACCACCATCCTCTTTTCTGTTGACTCATCATTCCTCTCCCCACCCCCACCCCGAAGAAGCGCCAGCCTTTAGGAACCGCAGATTCTCTCGCTGGAACTGCCCCCCCCTCCCCACCGCTTTCCGTGATATCCAGGGCTTCTAAAGCACAGCTTATTTTTAAATCAATCGTAGGCTGCGCAGCTAGCAAAGCAGAGTGTTAATTGGGTCCAGTGGAATTCTCATTCCCATGGGGGCTCCTCGAAAAAGAGAGCTTTCGTGGGGGGGGGGGGGAGGAGAGGAAATATATGCAAGCCAGCTACGTCAGCCGCAAGCAGAGAAGGCTTCTATGTGCGATATTGCAACAATCAGGGTTGGTTTTTTTTAAGTGACTCTTTTCCCACACCCGCTGTATGCAGTTTATGATGGGGGGGGGCTGTTAGTTTATTCAGATGCAATCTGCCTTTAAGGAAGAACAGGGGTAAAAGGGGTGGGGGCAGGGAATCTCCCTAATCTGCCCCTCTGCAAGCTCTCTCCTTTGCAAACTCCAGAGTGCAATTTGCCATGCCTGTCCTTGTCACCATTGTTCTGGTACTAATTCCATATGTATGTCACATAGGAGCTCTGCGCGCTCGTCGTCCCCCCCCCACCGATTCGCTCCCCTTCCCACCGTCCATCTATTGCTTCCCCTCCCCCAACTTCTAAAGGCAGATTCCCCCTCCCGTCCCTCACCCCTTCCCCTCCTAGGAAACGTGGAAGCAGGGAAATTCAAACTTTAAACAGCCTACATATAGCCTGAGTGAAGATGAGTGCAGCTTAGTGCTTACTCTGTCCCCCCATTCCCCCCCCCCTGAGTTGTTGTCCCCCCAAAAAACAACCCCCATCCACCCTCTGCTCTCTCTCTCCCTCTCTCTCTATTTATAACACAAAGCTTTTGAAAGAAAACTAAGACTGGGCCCCGTTCTCTCTCTGCTTTCGCTTGTTACCGTGGCAGCGTGTGCATCTCAGTGCCGGAGAATGAGGCAAGCTGGCAGCGCTTTTTGCTTCTGCCCCTTGCGCTTGGGATTACGGGAGAGGAGCCCTCAGAGGGACGTTCGCAGCAAGGATGCCCTACCGAGTTTGTTATGTGCTACTTATTCCGGTTAAAAGGTGAGAGCTTCTCTATAAGTGGGTTGCTTGTTTGTTTTGGATCCCTTTTCGGGTAAAAGTCTGTGTGCATTGTTCAGTTGCGAGAGCTTGCTGTTCATTAGCTCGGGGGAGAGAGAGAGGAAGGAAGAGAGGAAGGAAGGAAGGAAGGAAGGAAGGAAGGAAGGAAGGAAGGAAGGAAAGAAGGAAGGAAGGAAGGAAGGAAGGAAGGAAGGAAGGAAGGAAGGAAGGAAGGAAGGAAGGAAGGAAGGAAAGAAAGAAAGAAAGAAAGAGTGTAAAGGTGGAGTTTTGCATCTTGCAAATAGTACATCCCTCCAATCTCCGAAGAGTCTGTAAGAATTCCCCCCAGTGTCACAAGTGTTTTCCGTTAGTAAAAAAACATGGTGAAATGAATCGCGAGTGCAGAAATAGTGCTTCGTTTCCTTGTTATTCCCATGGTATTCTGCCATGTGGGGTTGCCTGCGCGACATGCAAGACCTGAGAGAGAGAGGAAGAGAGATTCACAGAGAAGGGGCAGATGTGTATATTACTGACACTTGGTGGGTGGGAAAAGAAGAAATAAGAAGCTATAAGCAGTGTGGATGCTTTTCATCCCTTTTATGGTGAAGTTTGATGTCCTCGACACTTCTCCTCAGGTAAGGGGATCTTAGCTCTGCATATCCAAAGTTTAAGGATTGCCCTGTTAGAGTGAACAGCCCTTGCTGTGGCAAGTTGTTCTGTTCGTCTCCTGTTGCCCCTCTCAGACAACGCTTCTCAAAACTTGTGACCCCCTTTGGTGCATGAGGGATACCTTCTTAACAGATAGGTTTTGTACCTGGGTTGCGAAAATACACACATGCCTGGGCTGTGTTGGGAAATACGCTCTGTGTGTGTGTGTTTTGCAGGGCTTGCGCCTTTAAAAGGAAGTCTTCCCCCAAACACCCGCACCATTCATGCGGAAGAGACGCAGGAGGCACAAAGATCTATGCTGCAAACGCTTCGGTCCTGGAGTTCAGCCTGTGTTATTTTGTACCCGGGTATCAATGCAGAGCTACAAAGCTATCTCTTATGAGGCATCTCTGATGGCCAGATGGTTTTCCCATGACGTTGCACTTTGCAACCTTCCTTCTTTAATTTCATTTTGAAATAAACTTAACTAGCTAACTGACATTCACACGGCACATTTAAACTACATGGCTTCCCCCTCCAAAAGATCCCAGGGAACTGCAGTTTTCTACCCACAGAGCTACAGTTCCCAGCACCCTTAACAAACTTCAGTTCCTAGGGTTCACTAAGGGACGCCATGTGCTTTAAATCTATAGTATGGATGTGACTAGGGACGCGGGTGGCGCTGTGGGTTAAACCACAGAGCCTAGGACTTGCCGATCTGAAGGTTGGCGGTTCGAATCCCTGCGACGGGGTGAGCTCCCATTGCTCAGTCCCAGCTCCTGCCAACCTAGCAGTTCGAAAGCACATCAAACTGCAAGTAGATAAATAGGTACTGCTCCGGCGGGAAGGTAAACGGCGTTTCCGTGCGCTGCTCTGGTTCTCCAGAAGCGGCTTAGTCATGCTGGCCACATGACCCAGATGCTGTACGCCGGCTCCCTCGGCCAATAAAGCGAGATGAGCACCACAATCCCAGACTTGGTCACGACTGGACCTAATGGTCAGGGGTCCCTTTACCTTTACTATGGATGTGACTAAAGTGTAGGAAGACTGGTCCAGAGGTGAGTGGTAAAAGGTCTTCTTTCTGCCCATAGTTTGGGGCGGGGAGCATTTTTACCTGGAAAACTTCAGGATCAGAGAGGCTTGACTCTCCCGAGTCTTTTTCAGCAGATTGCATTGCAGCTTCCACACTGCAATGAAAGAATTTGGGCACGAAAACAACAACAACAGGGTGATAAGAGTTGCGTACATGACTTTGACCCTCAGCCTTCCCTACCTCACTAGGTTACTGGGTGGAGAAAACCCATAACAGCTCATGTAGATCCTTCTGAGTTCTTTGGAGGGTGAAAGCAAATGTGGAAACGGATGAAGGAAATAAATCCACAAAAAAAGTTAGTAGTGCACAAATTGCTGGCCAACATAAACCCGTGTGAGTAATTTCTGGCACGCTGATTGCTTGGAAGAAGTAAAAAATAAACTCCATAAGCCAATCCAATTCTCTTCCAATTTTACAAGTGTGTTTTTCCCCCCTTTCCTTTTCCCCACTTGCCTGATCTTCTGGAGTTGATGCTTCCTTGCCAGAGGCACCCAGGACAGTGGATATTTACAAGCCCATCTTTAATGCTTATAGACTTTGTAGGTTTTCCCAACATTCGGCTTTGATGTTGATACTTGCCAGGAGCTCTTGTGCCAAGGTGGCTGCAATTCCAAACAGAATAAAGGCGTAGTGGGTCCCGTCCCCAGGGTCTGCATCAGCTCAGCGTTTATTCTACATTGTGCATCCCTGCTTGGGAAACTTCTTTGGCGGCAAAGCGCTGGACCTTGTGTGGGAGAAGTCAGTGTGTAGTTGTCCCTCGTTCATAACAGCTAATTAAGGCTTTGTGTAAAGTAGCACATCCAGGGCTGTGTGCAAACTGCATTCGTTTTTAAGGAAGTAATATAGGCCACAACAATCAAAGGTGTATTTTGCAACTTCCCCTCCAGTGTCAGAAGAAAAAGGGGGAAAGGTGTTTTATCTGCTACAGCAGGCGAGCTGTGTGGTGGAAAGGGCAGAATAAATCTCTTTATGCTAAACCAGACATTCACAGATATTCATTTGGCCTTGCATTGTCATGGCGCTCACTTAGGAAAAATCTCACTAGGTTCGCAACCTTCTTGCCCTTTCCTACGCACTCATTCTTCCCTCTTTCAAGAGGGAACTTCATGGTGGTGACCAGAAACTAAAGGGTGGGTGGGTGGATCAGACACCCCCACACTCAAGTTCCTTGAATTTGCGGGAGGTGTTGCTGTGTGTCGGTGGGGAGGATGACACGCACACTTTGTGTCTGCCCACATGTACAGGTGAGCATGCACCAAGATGTTGCCTCCCAAATTTGCAGACATTGGGTGCTGGGCTGTTGGCACGCAGGAAGGGCTGAAGTTCAGTGGTTGAGCAGCAGGGTTGGCGATACAGTGGTACCTCGGGTTACGTACTTAATTCGTTCTGAAGGTCCGTTCTTAACCTGAAACTGTTCTTAACCTGAAGCACCACTTTAGCTAATGGGGCCTCCCGCTGCTGCCGCACCACCGGAGCACGATTTCTGTTCTCATCCTGAAGCAAAGTTCTTAACCCGAGGTACTATTTCTGGATTAGCGGAGTCTATAACCTGAAGCGTATGTAACCCGAGGTACCACTGTATCTGGTTTTCAACATTGTGATATATCACCAGCTAAACATCGCAATATACTCATATATCATCGAATTGTAGAGTTGGAAGGGATCCTGAGGATTATATAGTGGCACAGCCCCTTTCAGTGCAGAAATATGCAACTGTTCATTTTTGGGAATCAAACATCACAATGTTTGAAATAAGGATGGAGCTATGTAGAGGCATTGGCTGGCTTCACGGTTTTCCCCACATTGTGACTTTTGCATAGCACACACACCATGACATATTGCCAGGTCAAATTATGAAACCAATATCACAATAATGGACTTCAAACCGGTTCTGGATGATATATCAATATATCGCCCAGCCCTATCAAGCACAGTATACCTGAAGGAGCGTCTCCACCCCCATCATTCTGCCCGGACACTGAGGTCCAGCACCGAGGGCCTTCTGGCATTTCCCTCACTGCGAGAAGCCAAGTTACAGGGAACCAGGCAGAGGGCCTTCTCGGTAGTGGCACCCGCCCTGGGGAACGCCCTCCCACCAGATGTCAAATAGAAGAACAACTACCAGACTTTTAGAAGACATCTGAAGGCAGTCCTGTTTAGGGAAGCTTTTAATGTTTAACAGACCACTGTATTTTAATACCTTGTTGGAAGCCGCCCAGAGTGGCTGGGGAAACCCAGCCAGATGGGTGGGGTATAAATAAATTATTATTATTATTATTATTATTATTATTATTATTATTATTATTATTATTATTATCCTTTGAATGTCTGAGGTCCCAGGTTCAGTCTTCCTGGTTTGGCTAGGAGATACTTGGGAGCTGTTGCCAGTCAGTGTAGACATTATTGCCCTGGATGAACCAATGATCTGACTTGGTGTGAGGAAGCTTCCTATGTTCTTCAGTTTTGCTGAATTTTGCCCAAACACTTTGAGAAGTGTCGTTCTTTTGGAACATGCGTATGACCACATCCGAAATGCTGCTCTGAACTATTTTGGGGATAGAGGGGCTCCATTTGCTCTTTGAATTAGCTTAACCATGCCATGTGGAAAGGCACCCCTTTTCAAATCATCTCCTTTAAGATGATCAGGAGGAAATCCAGCTGAACAGCCTCCTTTTCCTAATCCGACTTTGCTTCCAGCCTTGCCTATATGCAGGCTTTAAATAAGTGGAAAGTCTACCAAAAGCCCAGTGATTAGGGGGAAAGCTCTCATCTGCGGTGCTTTCAAAATCCAAGGTGCGAGGGGAAAGAAAATCCCCTCTGAAGGGCACGCATGTCTTCAATGTCACAGTTGTTAAGAATGTGCGCAGAAAAACTAGGAGGTTTCTTTTTTAATACATTCTCTTCTGGGGCAGAACGTGACAAAAGAGTTTTGAAGGTTGGCTAGGGATTTATCAGTGCATTAATATCAGAGACCCTAAACTGCTGTCTTCTTCTTCCTCCATAAGTGACTTAACGCCACTTCTCAAGTTTGTGGCGTCATCCCACTGACATAATATGTCGGGTGTGGGAAACCTTTGGCCCTCCAGGTGTTGATGAACTACAGTTCCCGTTCCCATCGCTCCCCAGCAATGCAGCAAGCTCCATGGAAAATTGCTCGTAGCTTTGTGGCTGCTCTCTCCCCCCAAGACATTGGATCGCTCCCCACTTATTCCCCCCCTCCCCTTTACCCTTCCAAATAAATGAACAGATCATATTTTCTCTG